GGTGGTGGTCAAGGCCGGAGGAGGACAAAGCCGAGTGCTTCACGGCTGATTGGTGGATATCCGGAGAGATCCAAGGCTTTCGATTCAGAGCTTATTGGTGCACAAAATTGATGGTGTACGGCTGCGCTCCCCATTCGACGCACGGCCTAGGTATGATTGTCCACAAGTGTTGAAGGCTACGTTCCGGAAGGCAGGAATCATGATGGTCCATTACATCAAGGGCAGTGGTGATCTTCGCCGGGTGACTCGGAAAAAATATAATAATACTAAAAATAATTGGAACAATTAGAATGAGAAACACAATTTCTCATATTATACTAACTCCACGCACTTGTACCATAGCGTTGAACCGATATTCGTGTTTTTTAACTGTCAGATTTCATGTTTTAACATTGTCGCTATTAATATTTTACCATCGCCAAAAGTACATAGAACAGTATCCGTAAAGTGATAATGTGGGGGTTTTATTTGCCACTCCACATAAACTGCGTTTAACTCCAATGAATCAGGGAATTTGAACGGCCTAGGTAGCTAACTTGAATCATTCACTAAGGACAGACAGAAACATAGAGATCGGCAGGACGAATTTGGTTGGTTAATTGACAAGTTGATTTATTGGCTTAGCTAACGTGACCTGCTCGATGAGATGATGCAGGAGAAATTTGTAGTCCAGGCAGGAGGTGCGTGTCGACGGGCCACCNCTGTCTCTTATACACATCTAGATGTGTATAAGAGACAGCAGTAGGATTAGGCACAGTAGGGTTAGACACAGTAGGGTTAGACACAGTAGGGCTAGACACAGTAGGGTTAGACACAATAGGGCTAGACACAGTAGGGCTAGACACAATATTGGCAATAGCTGTAAGAGAAAGGTTTAGAACATGGAAATCTGAGGCTATGCAAGTTTATATGTCCGACCAATTTCGTCCGCCATCAAAGCATGCAAGAACCCTATGAGAGCAAGAGTTAGCTCGAATGATTTGAATAAGAATTTTATTAGTCAATGTATTGTGAATTTAAATAAGGTTGAGCTATTAGTTCAATGGCCAATGGTGATACCTAGCAATGGGAGATATTCTCACAAGTTAGGTGGCTGAAAATGGGTTGAAATAAAGCGAGATCACCAAAATATAAGGGGATGATATTAGGTCATGAAAGATATTAGGTTCAATTGAAATAAGACGGGAGCTATGGGGTTACCAAAAATAACGACGGGGATTACTGAAAATAGCGATGGGGGTTACTGAAAATAGCGATGAGATCCGCTACAGCTTCTTAACTCAATCGCCACCATGCACTCGACTCTCTTTTCTGCGCTGGATCGGCACTTCTCTGAGCTCACCCGAGAACTCATCAGTTAAGCTAGGATAGTTTTGATCAGTGGTTCCCAAAGTGGGCGATATCGCCCCCCTGGGGGCGGTGGAAATATCTGGAGGGGCGGTGAGGAAGAAAGGGCTACTAGGGGGGCGGCAGTTTGCGAAGTAAGTCAGAAATTCGTACGGTTGTTTGACGATTTGTACACAACACGTGCAGAACATGACTCCGACTCAAATAAATTTTCACGAGCTAAAAATCACCGTTTGGTAGTTGGGAATTTATGTTCAAAATTACGTTCGAATCTGTTCAATAGTTTGGAAGAAATTCTGTGATTACTGTGAATTTCGGCCCATATCGCCATATAACTCTTGAATGAAGGTGAAATTAAAAAAATTCACGAGCTAAACACCACCGTTAGGTGAATTCGTGTTCCAAATTTTATCGAGCTGCGTTCATTAGTTTGTGAGATATTCCTTGGTCACTGAATTTGGAGATTGGCCGTGAGACCGGCTGCGAGACCGGCCATGGGGGTTTTTACGTTACCTATCCATATGTATCGTGTTAGACTCGTATCAGAGTATTATTTAAGGCCAAGATACTTGTTTTATTCACTAAATTCAGATGAAAAGGTTTAGGTGCGGCCAGACGAAACTGGCCGGAGAAGTAAACACACAATAAATTGGTAATGTGAATTTATTTGTTAAACTCCCGTGACCTGCTCAAAGTGAAGATCCAAATAGAACTGGAAGGCCTGGCCAGTGGTGAAGGTCGACGTGCTACACGTGGTTGCGTAGCGAGACGTCGTGGACGTGACGTCGTCGTGGAGACGTTGCAGAGGCAGAGATGATAGAGCGATGCCGAGACACGAGAAGACGTTACCCGAAACACGTGGTGATGTGGGGACAGCGAGATGTTCACACGTGGAGATGGGGAGATAACATCATAAGCACGCTTTAGTGTCACTAAATGCCCGTGGGGAAAATTCACTAAATGCCTTTGGGGAAATTCACTGAATGCATTGGGGAAAGTCACTGAATGCATGTGGGGAAAATTTACTAAATGCACGTGGGGAAAATCACTGAATGCACGTAGCGAAAATTCACTAAATACACATGGGGAAATTAACTGAATGCACGTGGGGAAAATCACTGAATACACGTGGGGAAAATTCACAGAATGCACGTGGGGAAGCGTCGGCACGCAGACGAAAATAGCGTCGGTACGCAGACGAAGATGGCGTCGGTACGCAGACGAATGACAAATCTACCGCCGCTGTTTTAGCGCGACACACGCGGGCGTCAGGCGTCAAGTTCTACGCCGCAGTAAATGAAATGCAGTCGTGTGTGAACAGCAGTGCACATTTCGTATGTCCGCTAAGGTTCGGCAGTAAATACTGTCGGACGCTGGCAGTATTTATTGCCCTGTGTGAAAGGGGCCTTAGAGGAGACTATGAAAGGAGCGTGGCGGAAGTGATGCAGCCATCAACCGAAATAAGCTTTCTTTGGACTATCCTTATGATAGTGTGCAAATTATTAATACGATAAACGTAATCCTAAGAGTATAAATATTAATGTGATAAATTTAAAATTACCTCTATGTAGCGAAATATGATATACATGTCAGATCTGGAAGGTCTGAACTACTAATCAATAGTAGAAAAACCTGAGGGGTTTTGGTTCGTTTATAATTGTCCGAATAACTTCATTGGCCAGGGAAGGACAATAACAAGACGTGTATCTAAGCGTAAATATTAGAGATAGGTTTATAGGATACACTAGATAGAAGTTACAGGATACAGTAGATAGAGTAGATAGAGAGTACAGGATACCGGAGTCTAAAGCCCCGTCCATACGTTCAAACTTATCGTCAGTACGTCTTGGCAGTCTTGCATGTCATGCCAGGTTTGACGACAAGACGGAGCGTGTGGACGCTCAAAGTTTGACGTCTTGCATGACGGGTGGGCGGAGTTTGAGGTTTGACAAACCTGGAAAAGACGGACGGGCGAGACCTTTGGGTTCATGCAAGACTGACGATAAGTTTGAGCGTTTGGACTGGCAACCGACTTATTGGTCAAACTTATACGCTATTTCAGTCTATATTGATGATGGGAGCTGTGACGTTGTTCCTCGCTAGCTCTAGTCTCTCATATTCCTATGAAATAAACGGGAGAAAACCAACTTCGATTTTCCCTGCCCCGTTGAGCCTGCACAAGTTCGTGTCACGAGTGGTGATTTAAATCGCATTATTTATATATTCAGCCTATTTTATTACTCAGGCTTCTCCTAGTTACATGCTTATTTATTTATATGAAAGTTCATCCCCTAGAACCTAATGCGGTCACTTTTACTCACTACACTATTAGCGAATGTTATGGATTTTTGTCGAGTTCAAAGTAAAGACTTGCATTGTCTAAGAGGTAAATTTTTTATATTCAATAATTTTTCATCGACAGCTTAAAATAATCTTGGATATATGACCTTTAAACATCTAAAACCCGAAAATAGGTAAATTTGTTTCCAACGTAATTGTACCCATGGTTGAAATAATACATGTATTATTTCAACCATGATTGTACCGGTGATATCCACAAAAGTTTATAATACAGTTAAGGATGCGTCAAATAAAATGTAACTGCAAAATGATCTTGATAGTTTAGTTTAATAAGTTGATTGGGCTGATACGTGGCAGCTGCATTTCAATGCTGACAAGTGTAAAGTACTTCACCTCGGCAAGAACAATGAACAGCAAGCTTACAGCGTGAGAAGACACGGTTGCAACGAGAGGGTTATGATTGATAAGTCTTGCGTGAAAAAAGATCTTGGAGTTTGTGTCGACAGGGAGCTAAAATTTTATAGGCATATTGAAACGCAAGTTAATACATCCAATAAACTGCTTGGGCTGATCAGTAATGATGAATCTGTTGTTCACCTCTGTCGTGCGCCCGAACCTAGAGTTTGGAAACGTTGTGTGGTCACCGAGACTTGAAAGGACATAAATTTAGTTGAGAGTGTTCAAAGACGTGCAACAAGGATAATTCCAGGATTAAAGGGCAAGTCTTGTGAAGAAAGATTGAAGATTATGAAGCTTCCCAGTCTCCGTTATCGTCGCCTGCGTGGTGACCTCATTGAAGTATACAATTATACTCATGGTTTGTACAAGGTCCCAGAAGGATTACTAGAATTTGAAACAAGAACCAACACCAGGGGCCACAGCTATAAACTAAAAAAACTACGGTTCAACTTATCCACGCGACAACATTTCTTCTTGCTTCGAGTCACTGACATGTGGAACAGCGTTCCTGAAGATATTGTTGACGCTCCGAGTATGAACGCGTTCAAGAACAGACTAGACAAAGCCATGCAAGAGCACATGTTTAGTCTTAAAATGCCTCGTACCCTACGGAACAACTGATATCTAGAATCGATTTTAAATCTACCGTCCGTTGAAAAGATCTGATCAAAAGGCCAGTCTAGTCAAGAAAAGCACAAGAATCGGCGACAGGCCTATCCAGGCCTACTCTTTAATGCCGAAGATACTATACTATACTACTATATCTGATTGCTTCTCCAGCTTATGAAATTGCGGAATTATCAGATTCGATGGATCTTTTTTTCGTCATGTGGTTGCACATCAGCGTCAATGCTGCGTCATCAGTATCAGTATTCAGTATGCAGTAGCGGGTAGCCTAGTAGGTGACGACTGACGAGTGCCGGTGAATGCGGTGATCGAAGTGACAAGACTTTTCATTAAATTGGCTTAAAGCTAAGTAGACTCAGCATGGTCCATGGTGCAATACTAGGATCGACGGTACTTATCGGCTTTATTATTTGTTATTAAGTTTATTATCGGCGACAGTACCTAATTTAGCCGCGGCATTCCATCGATCAATCGTTCGCCACTTCAGCGTCTTCAGCTTTTAATTTAAGTGTTACCCAGAGCATCATGTATGCCGTGCAGAGAGAAGTGCCGTGCACGGGCAGATTGCAGAGTTTGAGCTCCAAATTACTCCTATGTCCGTATGTCGGTATATGTCCTAGCCCTAGCGGCCTAGCCTAGGCCCCTGCCCCTGGCAGGCTGGCACCCTAGGACGGGCCTAGGTACTAGTACTAGTGTACTACTGTATCCATGATAAATTGATAATGATAAATGATGGTTTGTCACTTGCAATTAACTTGGCATTCTTAAATGAACATTAATATCATCAATTTGTCAAGCTCTTTTTTTATGTTTTGTATCAAACTTAGTGTCTGTCAGTCTGTGACTCTGTGTAACAGCAGTTTCTAACTGGGAAAGTGCAAGCATGGAAAACATCTGCCTTTAGGGCCGCAACTAGAGGTTTCCCGCCATTTCTGAAACCGCAAGATTTCCGTCCAATGAATTAACCCTATCCAAAGTTTAACAAAAGTGCACGATCGAGCCGCGAGATTCCAAATGTATTGAAAATTCGTCATGTTGAAGCTGCGAGATTTCAGAAACAAATAGAAAAATTCCAATCCTGGGAAAGTGGGCAGGATCCACTTCAACACTTGTGAAATGTGGCTCAGTGGCATGAAGCAGACAAAAATGCTCTGCTTACCATTCTGTAGAATAGGATAGACCGATATAAGCACCTGTGAATTAGGGTAAACGCGGTATATTCCGACACATTAAGGACGCATCGAGAAATGAAAAACTATTAAAAAATCATATTATGAGTAATTTGAGTTCTGTTTGCTTTATGTCACTCTCAAAACACGGCACTACGCACCAGCAATGATGAAATGTTACAAACTGAAACTGTTGCCATATTTATTTAAAAAGCCTTTAGAATGCAAATCTGCCAAATCCCTATATTCTGATGCTGTGTGTGACTAAATTCGGCACGTTGTGAGACTAATTCCGGCTGTGCTTCAAACTCTACTAATATGTAATTCCAATATCCTTGTGTTCGAATTCCAATTGCTGTGTGAGCTGTATTGGAATATGACACGGCTTTGAATTAGAATACTACCGTAAAATGGGGTAACTTAGACCGGCGGGGTAACTTAGACCACTTTTCGTTTTTTTAACAAAAACCCCCACAACTCAAAAACTATTTGACATAGAAAAATTTTGTCAATGGGCATTAAAGGCCTAATACTGAGGCTACATAACGCAATAGAAAGATCAGAAAAGTTTGCATATCTAATAGGTTAAAAAATTAAAAATGTGACCCACAAAGAAAAGCTATTATTTAAAGCCTCTCAGAGTACCCCCTCCAATTTTTTTATTTTTTGGGTAAATAACTCCAGGTTTTGATACATTGTAGTAGAACTCTTCTAGTTACATATGCAAATGACAAATTTTAGGAAAGTGTCATAGTTTGAAAATGGGGGGCGCCGCCCCCAAATGGGGTAACTTAGACCACCTAATGTCAGCCCTGACGGGGTAACATAGACCTTGTATTTTGCATGTTTCAATTCAAGTTTAATTTAGCTAGTAAAAAAATGGCATCATTTATAAAAAAAAGTGGTCTAAGTTACCCCATTTTACGGTATTGAATATTGAACACTACTTAATTATGCTTTTAATTAAGAGCCATTAAGCTTTTAATTAAGAAAATTTTAATTTTTGCACACAGCTCGGAACCATCGGAACGAGCTGTGTGTGTCCAATTCAAGTTGTGTTGGAATTAGTTTTTATGTGTCTAAATCCCTTTCTTAACTTAATCATCTATTAATTTATTTACCTACCACTTGAAATAAGCAAATACAAGTATACTTAAAGGATTCCCAATATATTCACAGGCTTATTTAAAAGTCTCAAACCATGACATTCTTTCTACACAAACATATTATCACTATTTTAGAGCAAGGTCAACTATCAACTTTGACACGTTTTTTGATGATCTCACTGGGTGGCGTGCACTGTCTCTCATTGGATCTTAACATTTTTCCGCTAGATGGCCCAGACCTAGTGTTTTGGCAATAGTTTGGGCGCGCAATAATATGACGTCACTATTTCAACCATCAACGAATGCGTGGAATGAAGACAAAGCTTAATATAAAGGAAAAACTAGAGAAATGTCATAATTACCCACGATGTCGGAATATACCGCGTTTACCTAGTTAAAAATTACCTGTAAATGAGTAAAAGCAAAAATGGCATATTTTGCTTGCAAATTTTTAGAATTGCCCATAAAAATAATTGGTACTGTAAACAATATTTTGAAAAATGTTGCTTGGTATTTTGTATTTTTTAATTTCGAAAGTTTCAGATGTGAGATGTCTGCTCTGAGGAAAGGCAGATTATTATTTAGAATTTTTTAGCTACCCACTATACCACGTGAGAACTTGGATAATTGGTCTAAAGGTCTAACTGACCTAAAGGTTGGACTGGTTGTTGTGCACCTCAGTTCTTGATAGAACTTGCTAAGTGTTCTTAACAGGTAAGTCACCTTGTTTTACATACAAGGAAATTTAGTTGGGCTGTTATATACTTTGCTGCTCTAAATACTCTTAAAAATGTCTTTTATTTAAAACAAAATCCAATTTTGCATTTGTCATCCTTTATCATTTGTATATAAACCTGCTAGGGATGAGAACTGTTAATAGCTTTGTGGATGATGGCAAATGAGTTTTTTAGTTTTAATTGAATGAATCCCTGAACTAATGAATAGCTCTCAGTTTATAATTTATGCCAAGTGTTTAATGTATGCCTTATGTATGATATATGTGTGGGCAGCTATGGATCGTTTACTTCGTCTTGGTGGAGGCCTCCAAGCCCTTAGCCAAGGCACTTCTCCTACAGACTCTCCAGTTCCTGACACTGCTGAGCAGGTAAATGCCTCCACTAACTGTAGCTATTTTTAAGTGTGGCATTTCTGTTGGGAAATGCATGCATTTGTAGAAAATTTTTTAAATGATTTTGATTACCGGTATCTATTGTTTAAGACATTAGTAATACATAGCATGTATTACATGACTTTCATATCTCTAACTCACTGTCAGAACACTTGACTTTCATATCTCTGGGATTCATTGAAATGAAATGCTGTCTAGCTTTTTGGCAATTCTATATATTAAGTCAGTTTTGGCCATGACATATTTGAACATTTTTCATAAACTCTGTGCTTCTCATGTTATTTGAATAACTAAATGGAGCTTCAACATCTCAATATGTTACATATCAGCATTCACATCACTTTAATGACAATTCCTAAATAAAACACTTCTCTGTGTAAAGAAATGATAAACGTTTGAAGATTTGACTATTCCATTATCAATATGTAATATAACCAAGTGATTTTTTGCAGGTTTACATCTCATCTCTAGCCTTGCTAAAAATGCTGAAGCATGGCAGGGCAGGCGTTCCCATGGAGGTGATGGGGCTCATGCTGGGACAGTTTGTTGATGACTTCACCGTCTGTGTTGTTGATGTCTTTGCCATGCCTCAGAGTGGAACAGTAAGTAAGGGTTAGAGCAGCAGCTCATATAGGTGATTTTCTCATGCGAAGGCCGTGTGTTGATGTCTTCACTGTGTGCACAAACCATTTGATTCCTTGTTGGTGCCCAGAAGCATAAATCTAAAGTTGTTCATTTAATGTCAACAATTGCATTTTCCCCCTATATGTTGACTTATTCCTGCTCTCCTGTGTGGCACATTTTAGGCATGTGTTACATCTAAGTTTTAGCTTTCATGATTCATGGCCATATAACGTTATTGATTACTCAATAGCTAGAATTTCTATGCCTAATAAGCAATTTGTGTGCAGGGTGTATCAGTGGAGGCAGTGGATCCAGTCTTCCAGGCGCGTATGCTGGACATGTTGAAGCAGGTAAGTCATTGTCTGGCTTGTTTGTCTAGGTTTTTTTTACCAGATAATGAAGTATTGAACATGTGGGCTTTGTAGAGGGCTGCTTGTAAATGCAAGTATTGTTGATTGGATACTGTCAATATGATGTGAAAAGGCTGCTATTCCCACTATGTGAATAATAATATAGGTCATATAAAAAATTCAAACTAATTGGAGTGAGAATAGTGAAATCTTATTCGATGGTCTAGGTTGGATGATCATTGACGAAATTTATCATTCATTTTTAGTCAGCTATTTTGGAGAAGTCTGGCAACTCGAACAACCCTAAGATAACCAGAGCCATACTATCAAAATTAGTTCGGAGTTCAGGGTTGGCGATTTTTTTGATTTTTTTTTAAAAAATCAAAAAAATAAAAAATCAATGATTTTTTTTATTTTTTCATGATTTTTTTTATTTATTTGATTTTTTGATTTTTTTAACTTTTTGTCTTTTTGAAGTGTTATTTTTTATGTTGCAATTAGCCTACTAACAATAACAGTATATGAATCATAATGGATGGCTAAAAAGGGCACTTATTGTGATGCAGCTAACAAACCCCCATTTTCCTGATATTGTTTGCAAAACATAAGTATTTTAAATGGTATGTTATGCTAATCTTGAGGAAAATAAACTTTCTTCTTTATGTACCTCCATTACTCTTTTATTTCGCCCCAAAACTGTTCAATCAGTTCTGCCCTACCCTGTATAAGCTAGCTAACACATTTAAATTGTATATTGTAATCAATATATAACAAATAGTTAAAGACTACTTATAGCCTTATAAGAATTAGCTAAGCTGCTAGCTACGTACAATGTATTGCACACTTGATGCCTCTGTACCAAAAACATTCAATTTATTGGAACCTATTACTGGTACACACTAAAGGCAACAAGTTTATAGACCAATTTGTCATTTATAGTACATTTATACTAAACCATGAATAACAATACCTCAATATACATTAAAGACTGCCACTCAATATATTTAATTATATGAAAAAATCAAAAAAATCGAAAAAATAAAAAAAATCCTGATTTTTTTATAAAAAAATCAAGTGATTTAATCACATGATTTAATCATTTTGATTAAATCATTGCCTACCCTGTCGGAGTTCGTAACTTTTTCGGCGAAAAACTGATGGCTTTTCGTGCTAAATCCACCAATCGTAGACGAGAAATCGGCCGCTACGTGCACTTAGATTGACATGTGTATTTGATTTAATCCTTGACAGGTAGTGGTAGAAGGCATACCTATATCTGTTGTACTTAACTGAGGAGAAATTGGGAACTCTCAGCTGAGCTATCGAAAAAATCTGAGTTGAAAATTTTCCGCTGAAATCATTTTATTTGAGGTGTGTTTGGTTGTTTGTGTTACAAGTGAGACGTCCGGAGATGGTGGTAGGCAGGTACCACTCCCATCGGCTGCTGGTAGTAGTGATAGATATTAATACTTTCTATTGTGTTGCAGGTAGGGCGGCGGGAGATGGTGGTAGGCTGGTACCACTCGCACCCAGGCTCCAGTTGCTGGTTGTAGCGATAGATATTAACAATTGTAATCGTGAAGTAGGTAGGGCGGCCAGAGATGGTGGTAGGCTGGTACCACTCGCACCCAGGCTTCGGCTGCTGGTTGTTTGCGATAGATATTAATATTTGTTATTGTGTTGTAGGTAGGGCGGCCGGAGATGGTCGTAGGCTGGTACCACTCCCACCCAGGCTTCGGCTGCTGGTTGTCGGGAGTGGACATCAACACACAGCAGAGCTTCGAGGCGCTGTCCGAGCGCGCGGTGGCTGTCGTCGTGGACCCCATCCAGAGCGTTAAAGGTTACTATTTGACATTTGTCTGTGTTTGAATATTGCTGAAGAGCTTGATATTTATATTCCTTATAAATATTTTTATACTCTATGGGACGAAATTCATATGTTTAATAAGACCTTCATTTGCATGTACATGCTGTTATCTTTTTTTTGTGCCTTGGTGTTACATAGAATTTTAAGCTTGATGTTCGTAATTAATAATTTGTGAATTGACAGGGAAAGTTGTGATAGATGCGTTCCGACTGATCAACCCTAATATGGTGGTGCTGGGTCAGGAGCCCAGGCAAACAACCAGCAACCTGGGGCATCTGCAGAAGCCTTCCATACAGGTGACAGTTGATCAAATTGTTCTGGTGCTTTACTTTATACTGAAGATTTGTGCTCACATTGCCAGGGAATTAATGTGGTACGCCTAAAGACAGGTTTTATTGAGGATTGTTACTTACGAGATTAAAGATCAAAGTTACGGTATTTTTATCAATCTTCCGATTAGACCAACATACAAAACATACACAAGAGGTTGCTACGTTGTAAATACAGTGTTCACTGTGTAAGCATGCGCTCTCAAGTCTCGTTTTCTGTTAGTTCTGCTCTGTGCAAGAGCCAAGTATATTCGTCGACACAATACTTGCTAATTTAACAAAGTAAGAGACTAGGTATATACCGGCAGCATTTTAGCAATTTCCTCTCTAACCACTGATACATAGGGAAAAAAGTGCGACTTCAGCGAGCGTCCGTTCTCATAACTTACAATTTATGAGTATTTTTTTCCAAGGGAACATTCACAATAAAAATGGGATTTGCTGCACGTTCTGGGATGTATACCCAATTATGTGATTCACGGAACTCGATGCAAAATTATTGCCATGACGATTTATTGACTTTGTGTTGTGTTACACCGGGCAAAGGTGACGGATCCTCTGCAAGTTTTTCATTTAGGTCACTTTCACTGTTGCCCAAATGAATTTGTTTATGGCGGCTGGAATTTCTTATTCTAATAAAGCACTAGTCCTATTATCATCAAATGTATGCAGGAATTATCGTACCTGATTGCACGAGTTTCTGATTGACCTTTCCTCTTTTCAGGCGTTGATCCACGGCCTGAACCGGCACTACTACTCCATCCCGATCAAGTACCGCATGAACGAGAAGGAGCAGCAAATGTTGCTGAACTTGCACAAGAAGTCGTGGCTCGAGGGCCTCACGCTCACCGACTACACGAGCCACGCAGCCACCAACGAGACCACCGTCAAGGATATCCTGGGTCTGGCGCAGCACTACCACAAGAGCCTCGAGGAGGAGGAGAACATGACGCCTGAGCAGCTCGCCATCAAGAACGTGGGCAAGGTCGACCCTAAGCGCCACTTGGAGGACAAGGTCGACCTCCTCATGACCGAGAATGTCGTCCAGTGTTTAGGGGCTATGCTCGACACCGTTATTTTCAAGTGATTATTTTTGTATTGTCCAGCCTAATGTAACCTCACATTATCCATTATTCACAAGAGGATTCTTCTATAATTTAATAGCTCAATGGTTTTTCTTATCGAGTTACATATTATCCGAGCCATGGTATTGGCATTATTGATAGATCGAAATTCGATGTCGTAATGTTCAAATCTAATTTTAACTATAACTAAATGCTATTTAAAATAGCATTAATTAAGATTCTTTTTCTATAAAACGACATGTCGAAGTTTTTTTATTACCACATGTTTAAAGACGCTCTGGAGTGCGCTCTGGAGTTGGCTGGATGTTCCATGCAGCTTCATGGAAGTTTATAGTAATCTTTTTCGCGATCCTGATGTCGTATTTTGAAGCATTTTATCTAGATACCTTAAAAAATACTTGTTATGGCTGGTACCCCATGTTGAAGATTTTCATTTAGATAGATTAAGAATAGGAATATGCTTCGGTATTTCCCCCTGCACGATTTATTAAGTATTTATGAAGGTAAAGTGCATCTCTTGACGCTCGTCTTGCACGGTCTCGTCGCTGGCTGACGATCCTGTCGCTCTGGCTGAGGGTTTACCTCTCCTGTTTGCTGCATACTTGACTCTTGAGACTCCAATAATTATACATTCAACAACTCAGGTATTCGAATGTTGCTGTTGGGTTCGAAGATCGTAATCCCGCAGGGGGTGGGAGTTTTCTATCCCATTAGGGGATTTGACTCCCCCTCGGGCCCCAGTCAGGTTCCTGTTGAAGTTTTGCTTGCCTCAGTCGTTATATATTCCAATTTTACCATATCCGACGTTTATTCTTTCTCAAATAAATACGTTTTGTTCGCAAAATTTGGAGGAACTTTGGGTAATGAAGGCGTATTCACTTCAACAATTTATTTTCACAATACAAAAATTTGTGTCGCCGGACGTTCGCCGCAACCTTTAATCTTGTCAGAGCCTTACGGCCAAATGCCGGCAACTATCTCGTTAAAAAAAAATACGATGACTTTGCTAAAAGTTGAATTACACTGGGATTCCGTTGGTTAAAACTTCAGTTAACACGGATAAAACTCGACTTTGATTTCAGTATAAAACACTTTGAAATAAGCAAATTCAAAATAGGATTAATGTAGTAAAATAGAGTGAACAAGCTTTCCGAATGCAGCCACGATATGTAGAGTTCGGGTATAATTTCACAAGCGAGTCAGCAAGGCAGAGTGAGCTCAGCGAGAACCTCTCTGTAGGGCTGGCAGGGCACGACTGACTTCTCAACCCACACAGACCTGACCTCGCGCTACGTAGCTCCTGCTGCAGTAAGGTCTGATCTAATATTTAGACGCCACAGAATAATTTAACCAAAAGAAGAAAAATGCACTTGAGAATAAATGATCGTAGCAATCGAGCAATTTAAATATTAGTGAACAATGTTCATCGTTCACAACTGCTACGTACTAAATCAAAAATTTCTCTAAAAGATGAAATTTTTTGAACTAAAAATAAAGCGAACAAGAATCTGAACACGAGTGTTTCTTGAATACGTCGCTGTAGACGCGGTAGAGCGCAGAATGAGGTGACTGCCGGCCGCCGTACTGCGGCTATCTGTTAGCCACAAGGAAGAGGTGGCGCAGGGTTTGAAGTTAAGAGAGTACCAAGATTGGCGCAGAGAGGCGCGGGTTCGATCCCAGCTCTGTGCGCCAGTTTCTGGTCAGAATCAGCGAGGAGGCCGGGCGGTTAAGCAAAGCAAAATTGAAGCGGTGAGTTGCGCTTTCGAGACCACAGCAAGCTGTGAATATTCTGCGATTTTAAGAATCGGCAACAGGCCTACGGCCTAATAAACGCTGAAACCGCTATTATTTAATATTATAAGGAGTCACTAGGACGGTCGCTAGTTGGGCAGTAGGATCCAGTAGACATCAAGTGGCTTGGCCGGCCTCTCGTTACCAGGCGCGAACTCTCATAATGTGTTAGTTTTTTGGATATATTAGTTTTATGGATGTGTTAGTTTTTTGGAGGTAACAAATAACCCAATTGATAAGATCACGGGCTATGAGTGCAAAATCATTCAGGCTTTCGTTTTAAAAATACCTATGTGAGTTATGTCTGTTGTTAAATTCGTTCCAGGTTCTGTTAAAACTGAGATTCAAGATTGGTGAATAAGGAATTGGTAGAAGCACCATACGCGGGCTAAGTGCTCATAAAGAATAACATATATCTCGGCTGAAAAATATATGACCATTTAGTTGTCTAGTCCTTCTGAGCTAATAGTTCGACTACTCCTGCTAGTCTGGAGCGTAAAATTATAAACTGTTCTCATGACAACGTCGTATTTCATCCCTACATAAAAAAACTTTCCTCAAGAAGCGATGTCTGCAGTGCGTGATTTTTCCTACATCGACGCTGATGACGCGATCTCGAGTAGCGCCTGTCGCACTCCCGCCGCGTCAGCTCGACCAGGCGCGCCCTCGGGAGGAATCCGCGCCTCGGTGACCGCCTCCACGGAGGCTGCTGACGAAGGCAGAGCAGTGCGAGCCACGCTCAACCTGCTGCCCTGTGGCACCGACGTCTCTGATGCGGAGTCCGTTACCGACAACTGTATGGTGGACCAAGGGAGGGACTCTGCAGCGAGAAGTTGTGATAAAATTCTGAATAATTTGAACATAGAAACCGTGAAACTGACGGATGAGAACAAGTACTTCATCCCGCACATCCCTGATCTTTTTTATCCCGATAAGAGCGATGTTCCGGACGCTGCCTCGAATGTTGGAAGTTCAAGGCAGCAACTCCCTCTTGAGAGCGAGAAATCTAGATCGAGAGTTAGAACTTCCATCCGTCCCCCCGGGGAATGCACATTTGGGCGCGTAGGGGGCGATGATCCCTCCTCCATGGCGCGCAGTGACAGCATTTCCAGTCTGGCGAGCGAGGTAAGTAACACTGAAGTGATTCACTGCTAAACTTCGTGTTTAACACTTGAATATTGATTCGTTTATTCATTAAATGCAGAAGAGAAATAAACTGGTGAGTTTTAGAATTGATTTCTACATTTTTAATCCTTGTTGTTCAGCATGACTCCTGATGTAGATACGAATGCTCGGTAAGCTAAGTTGGATTGTTCATTAGAAGAAAAATCCGAAGGAGTGGAGACTGTGACTTATATTTGTGTGCGAAGATGGCAAACGAAAATCTTAGCGGGGTAGGGCTATACAACATGGAAGAGCGGTAGAGGGGACTGTCGACCCAAGAAAAAAACCTTGGTTTCTTTATCTTTCATCCTCTCTAATATTCAAATTATATGTTCTTTAGTGTTTATCTCGATATCCGTTGAGGTGAGCTCGTGCGCGGGCGACAGCGCCCCCAGACGTCGGGGTGAGGGCGAACAGCGGACCAGCAAGCGTCGTCGGTCGTCTCTCCTTCCGCGCTGTAAGAACTCCTTCGCTGACGTCACGCTGCAGTACATCAGAGACAGGCTCGAAGGTACATTATATTTTCGCTATATACTGGCCATGAGAGGCCGAACTTTTATATTTTGTGAGCTAATTTCGATCAGGCGCGGGAAGTTGCAGTACATCAGAGACAGACTAGAAGGTAAATTATATTTTCGCTATATACTATCCATGAAAAGCCGAACTTTTCATATTTTCTTTGTTAAGTTCGATCAGGCACAGCAGGTTATCACTAACTACAAACCCGTTGCGCTGTTTTTAACGCGCCGTAATAAGATGTTTGTGTGTCTGACTCACATAATTACGACGTTTACGTGGGTCATTGTTTTTGATACGTATCAGCTTTCTTATGCTCGAGTGCTGCTAATTTTTGTGCGTGAAATTATCCCAGTCAAGTCGCTTGACTGTACAGCTATTGAACATTGTTATAGTGTGGATATAGCGTGAATTACGTAAGTTTTAAATTCATTTCCATTAAGCACGTCTGTATTTATTTTTCTACGATTTTTTTTGTCACAATTATCAAAATAATTGGCAGACAACTTCGTTCCGAGATGTTATTTCATTTAATGGAATATTTATTTTAATTTTTCGTTTAACTTGTTGTGTACAGGCCGAATATTTTCCGGCTGGTTGGAGGAGCGGCAGCGGCTGGAAAGTAAAGTGAAGTTGCCGCCACGCCCTTGTGACGTGACTGGTGCTGGTGCAGTGCCTGCTGGTGGAACAGAGGAGGTGTGGAGGGATGTGGTGGAAGTGGACGCGTGTGAGGTGGATATGGTGACGCAACTGGATGCTGTCATGGCTAGCGTTCCTGGCTCCATGGAGGGCAAGAAGTGGATTAACATTCAACGTGAGATACTATGACTGAAGTCCATTCATTGTTCTAAATTGCTTGACAATTGTATGGTCATTAAGCAGGTAGAAATCACTCAATTGTGTATTCGAAGTAATATCCAAGTCTCATATTATAATAACCGACCACATATAATGTAGATGTCCCGCCTGTCTGCATTGTTTCTTTACGTATATCGTTGTCTCCCTCGGTCTCGTATTGCGTGCAAATTTATTAATTGTATTTATTTATTTATTTAATTACTACATAACTAATGTGATTACATAATAAATAATTACATAATAATTAAGCCGGAGGAAAATGTATTAATTGTAATTTTCCTCCTGCTGGGGGCGTGAGCAGCACCAGGGGTCGCGCACGGGTACCTGCTGTGGCTGCTGTTGGAGGGGCCGCCCCGACCCCCGCTGCACTACTGGTTCCAGGTCGCCTCCGTCACCAGCAACCCCAGCACGGGACTCAACTTGCGCCTCGTGGTCCTCAGGTGCTGGTGGTGGTGGCGGCAGGTGGTGGGGCTGGCAGGGGTTGTCAGGAAATGGCCGGGGCTGGTAGGAGGGAACAGGGCTGGCCGGGGGTGGCAGGAGGTGCAGATGTAGGTTGGGGCAGGTAGTGTGGGGTGGGATGGGAGTATGTGACGGCAGGTATTGGCTGGCAGAGAGTGAGAGTTGCTCAACGGAGAAAGCAATGTTGCCCGCGTGGCATTGGTGAAACTGGGAATAAAAATGGTGCCCTCACGTGAAGTCTCAAGCTCTAAAAACCTCTCTGAATGGTCGCTAATTCTCTATCGATATTATCCCCGCATTTCATTTATCTTCTCTTGCTCTGCGTCGATGAGTTGCCGAGGCTGGATCACGATTCGCTAGAATAACGCGCTGCTGCATAACGGAGCTCGTTCCTCAATGGTCGCTAATTATTTATAAGGAATTGTTCATACCCATACTGATTATGCAGACGAAATTATTCATTAATTACTAAGTATTCTTTGTATAATATCAGTTCAAAATGTTGATTATTCGCAGGCCTGTAGGTGAGTGTGACGCCGAGTCTGCGTCAAGTCGCAAGCGGCGGCAGGCGGCGGCCGCGGCGGCGGCGGCGGGCGACGTGCCGCTGAGTGTGGCGCTGGCGTGGCGCCGTCTCGTCGAGGACGTCAGGCAGAACGTGACGGGCGAGACCGTCTCGACCTACGCGGCCTACGCCCTCCAGCCGTCCAATGTTCTGGCCGCCTGCGCCCTGCACGCTGGTCGCGAGGCCGTCCATCTCTTCCTGCTCTTCATGCGGGAGGCGGGGTTCCTCATTGACCGCGCCACTCCGGCCTTCCAAATCGTCGTGGGCTTCGTCGAAAAACTCATTGGGGGATTTTTTGTGCTCATAGCCATGGTATATAAGGACGTGCGTCGTCCAAATCCTCCTCCTCCCGCAGCTCCCCTCGGCGGGGGCGGCCGCCCTCCTGCCATAATGGGCGTTGGGCCAACAAGTGGAATTAGGTTCGTGCCCGCCCAGTCTTGGCAGGACGACTACAGGTCATGAGGCGAGGGCTGCACTGACGCAGGGTCGTCACATTCGACAATCAGGAGACGAGCGATCTTGATAACATCAGGACAATAATGCATTACGGGAACTGGCAAGGTTTTCGATCCCCTCTAGAGTGGATAGTGTTTGTCCGCGGGGATAATGAAATTTTCTGAAACTGTGTGCCCCATTCACCGACACCAAGTTTCAGCAGATATTAAAGTGACTTGGTTGTAGAGCTTTAATTAATTTAGACCGCAATAGGAGACATTTTCAACTAACGGTTATTTTCAACATACATTTATTGTGAAGATAAATCGTTGTTAAGACGTAAATATGAATTGTTTATGTTAACCTGTTTCTGCATTGAAGGATGCACAGCAGAAATACATAAAATTTAAGGTTTTGTGGGATTACGCAATTAACTGCAATATATCGAATACTGCATCATCTTAGCCCCATTATTTAGCAATTTATGATAGAAAATCACGGCTTGTTTTCGATGAATTTCCAGATTATTTTTTCTTAAAATGTTCTTTTGCAGCGATAGAAGAGCTTCTTCATGGTCATTTTATTCTAAAATTTTATTTAAATAAATCATCGCTGTAGGTACCGGGCGCTGGGCTCCGATTATCTTAACTTCCTCACTGTAAGGTTCATTGCAATAATTCAACCTATGTATAAATCTGACTTGCAACTAGAACTTATTCTAGTTGATAGTATTCTGTCTGAGTGTGGACAAGATTAATCGACCGACATGCTGCCTACGGCTACAAAAATACTTGTTTTATTTTGGTAATTTATATTTACCCGCTGGTTTAGGTTTTCTTGTAAAAAATAAATTTGTTTCAATCTGGCCGGCTTCTTAATGCGAATCCACATATTTCTTTCGTTATGTTGTTAATGTATAGTATATATTTGACTCGTCTATTTAAAATGGTGACAAGATGTGGGCCAGTAGCAAAGATTATTTTGGTAGCTTGTTTCCTTTATTTGGTTAGTTTCCAACGGATAAATTAATGCATTAACTTCTGAATTTGCTTATTCGCCTCAATGATCCTAGATTGCATCAAATATGAGATAATTCCCCTAATAAAGTCATGTCGAGTGTCCCCTCAGGGGGGACTTCTGACGGGTGTCTGTGCTCGTCAGAAGTCCTATGGGATTTCGCTCTCCTAGGGGGATTGTTCCTGAGCGCCCCACCGTTGAGCTCGCGGTGTCTGACTGCAGGTCTCAGTTGTGGGGTTAAGTTATTATGTAGGTAGGATTCCTTAAATTTCCCTTCTCTGTCTCTCTCGTGCGGGCGGCCGACGTCCCGTGTAAGCGGCCTCTTGTTCGAGTGTCTTCGTTTCTGTTGCTTTTCACCTGTCCTTCCTTGTCACTTCATCTCTTTGAGATGCTAACGCTGCTTCTCTCGAGCCAGCTTCAGCGGGCTGGACAACTGAGACCTTCCGCTCCTTGTGGGCGATGAATAATTCCAGACTTTGAATAATTGAGACCTTCCGCCTTCTGGCGATGTTACATTTTAACCTCCGGCGCGAAATAGCTTGAAAGCTGAAGCGCTAGCAAACCATTCTACTACTACTACTACTACTCATGTCGAGTGTTCCTGACTAAGCTTTTCATCTTTCTCGTTTTCTATTGACGTTCATTTTACGTGTGCAGATTTAAGCGCGACTGTCTTCAATTCATTTTTACCTTCGAATTCTTACGAATCTTGCGATTTGTGTTGCTTTATGTGGAAGTTGATAGAATTTATAACCGCTGTTGTTGTTGGGCTGTTTTATCTATTTAAAGCTTTCTTATGTATTGAGTATAGCTTGCTTCTCTCGATCGACCGTCGCACCAACCTCATTTACTCATTTCGGCTTCACTTATTTTGATTATTTTTAATGGCTAATAACTTTATCAAGGAATAATTTGTTGAAAATTTATCTTAGCATTTTGTATGCACCAAATTTGTCACACTGGGAGTTCATTCCTGCAGGATATATTTTTCACTGCTTCTTTACTGCGCACGGAACCATGGCCCTGAAGTTGATGATCCTACGGGATACATTTGCGCAGTTCACACTCGCCTTTCCAGGCAAACACTCTGTGTCGAGCAATAAAATTGTTATGCATGATATCATTTTTATTAGAGATATTTAATTATCACGTCTTATATATCTACTATGCTCACTTCAAGACCATTCTACGTTTAGTATAACAATGCATTGCTTTATGAGGTGTAGGTCACGCTTCTATTTGCAATGGAGAGATGGGAAGTGAAACACTAAAATGTAATTTTGAAGGATATTCTTGAGGCGACATTGGAAGGTATATAATTCTCGGAATATGTAATTGTAATATATTTTCCTTGCGATGACATTGGAAAGTAGTTCTCGGAAACCTCTTCACTTAGGTCATGATGAGGCTTAAATGAAAATATTCGAGGTATTCCGTTTTTTACGAGGTAAATTTATGCAAATAAAAGAAAATAATCTGAGAGAATCCTTTTGGTTGGTGGCGAGCGGCTCCAGCGTCGTCAGGAGGTGAGAGCGGTGCTGCGATGTCGTCCGTGCCACGTCATTGCGGGCATTTATCGTTCCTTCTACTCAATCAATTAAATAATATTTCTTATTTAGTTCATTTGGCTGTGAAAATTCTACTCTTGATGAATATAATTTTGTGTTCAACTTTCCACTCTGCGCTCACGCCGCTACATAATAAGAGTTTTTTTAATGGTTTACATGAGCGTAAATGATTATGATTAGTTCTACTTTTCATTTCCCTTCCTTCACTCAATAAGTATTAATTATAGTTCACACAGAGGGATACTAAGGAACTTAGAAGATTCGTTTCGCATATCATGACTTGAAAAAATGCGGAATGCACATCTAATCAGGTTTTTCCAGGTTTTGAAATAGCTTCCAGCTTACCAAGATTTTTTAAAGAACTTCATGTATTAGGTAATACATGTGTCGCTCAGTGCTTGGAGGCGTAAATGGGGACACGTGGGGACAAATTTTTTGGAATATAAATGCGGACATATTTCTTCTTTCTGGCATGATAACTGGTCTATTGATAGCCTATAAAACATAAATAGATTGTTGAATTGAACTTTTGAATATCCTTCCGGTTAATGGTTGAGTCTCAATCCCGGGCAGTCATAATTTGGGAGTTGATGATTCGTTTAAATCTTTTCGAGACCGATCGAACAACTTCTAGTGGCAGCCTTTTTTTGCAGGATTTGATAATCCTGTTTGAACATTTTTCAAAGCAAATGGAAAGCAGATACAGAGACAGTCTACACCGGCGGTAGGCTGTCTTCACACAAATTCACGTTTCTATTGAAAGTTCTCCGTCAGTAAGCTTTAAATTACTAAAGACATTTTGTCAGGGATAAAGGTGCTTATACACGGGGCCAGCATTTGTTGCGAGTTTTCGCACTCCAAATATTGTGATGATTAATTCTTTAGATGCAAGTAACTGCTACTATATTGCGTCTGAAGCAGTTGAGGTTGTTAATTTGCCGCTGAGTGCCGGCAGTAGGGATGCAGCAGCTGTAGTTTAAATGTCTGTGTCGCTCTGGATCCTCCTAGGGGCAAGTGTTTCTTATGAACTATGTTTTGTCCTAACGACGACGGTTGTAATAACGTCAAGGAGTTCAGATGACATTAAACTGTTCATATAGATTTTTCAAAAATGCGATCTACTGTTGAATGTATGTCGCGATGAATATTCCAACATAAACTAAATGAGAAAGTAATGTTTTTATTTTGAAAGAAAACAGTCCCTCTTTTGTTTTCCAAACATTTTCTTTGGCATCTCAAGTCAAAAGTCGAACGTCGGGTATCATCAAGACTCCCACTTGTGTCAATCATTGAAACCTAGTCATACATACCATGTCTCAGCTGTGTCATTAGGTGTATAAATCTGTGAATTGTTAAACAAAAGATTTTGGGCACATTTTCTGATGAAATTAAATTATTTTATACGATGCCAGGGACTGAGCACGCTAGAGGCACGGCATGAGTTCCAACTAAAATCTAAATTCACAGCCTGGAGTTTAACTGTTTAATGGAATAAAAGTTTCAATTGCTTCTAAATCATGAATATTAGGGCTGAGGAATGAGTAGGTTTATAAAAAATATATATGGAAGGAGATAGGCGCATTATTGGACAGACTTTTCATCTGCTCACAAAATAAATTCATTTTGGCGCACACATTTAGCAGGAACGTCAATGTAGCATTCCCATGAACACTTGAGCCAAAAGTAATAATTCTGCAATAGCGCGAGTGCTATTAATCACACTAATAATCACACACGCACGCGATCGAGTCTAGGCGGAGGTGTCTCAGTAAATAAGGAATAATTGAACCTGAGAGGCTCTTGATACCGATTATTCGGTCATGTCAAATCCATGGCTTGTAGAACTACTTGGAAACTTCTATCATCATAACTAAAAGCCTTGGTTTTTTTTTTTGTTTTGAAAACCTGATAGAGCGTGATAGGTCGACTACGGACGTGTGTATGTGATAGAGTGAGTACATTTTTGAATCGGTGAATAAATAGAAAAGAGTCTTAATTTTGAGACAGGCACCTATTTGGAGTACCTTGTTTGTCGAATCAAAATTGACAGAGAGAGGCTGTTCGTATAGCCACAGTCAGGTAGGTATCCACTCATTTAACTGTTTTATATCACGAAGAAATTCTCCTGGCGAATTCTCGGTCAGTAAATAAGCGGAATCTAGCGGATTCAGGCTGATTTTCGTCCGAGTTGATTATAGACCGCATACCATTGACCTTGGTACACCCAATTACAGATAGTAATTTGCCTTCCAACGTGGAGATTCGTTGTTTTAGACTCGACGTCTGTTGATTGTATTGGGGACTGTAGAGATAAAATAAATGGACTTGTAATTCTTAGAATAATGACATAATTGAACTTTCTATACGTGAATCTAGCAAATATTATGTACCAGATTTAATGTTCACCGGCATGCAATCTTAAGAATTAATTCAGTGCAACATTACCAGACTTGTCTGAAGAGTGTATCTAAGTAACAAACCGCTTTTAAAACTGTATGAAGAATACGCCAGAAGTTAACTTCAAACTGCAGAGTCGTGGTTTCTTTGAAACTAAACTAAATGGAACGACGAGTAATTCTTTGACAAATATTAACTTTGGATTCGATTTTGATATAACTTATAAGGCACTGAAAACAATAATATTAGTGACCACATCTTTCAGTGAATAGTCTTAAACACTCGATTTATTTGGTGTGTATACCCTGCAACTGGCCGGTAACATAATAATTTAACAATATTATATTTTAAAAGAAATAAAAAATTTTCTTATGATGGAAAAAAATTTTTGCTCTTCACAGACAACCAAATGAATTAAACAACACTGGCTGAGGGTGAACAGAAAATTTTGTTACATATAATATATGAAAGATATCATTTATATTGTATATTATGTATGACGAAATGAAAATGTTATTATTTAGGGAATATTTAAACTCAAAAAGTCAATTCCGATTTCAAGAATAATTGAATTTATAATTCTGCAGACTATGTACCGAACACATTTTACGATGGTAAATTTCACGTGCCAAAGAACCTTTCGATCATATGCTACCTAATTTGATCGTTCGATTGGCAATTATTTCCAATGAGATAGCCAATTTTTGTTTAGGGCTATCAGAACAGGAAATGAAGAATCCATGTAAAAGACTGCCAATCATGAAGACAATTTGGCGAGTAACGATTGAACGAAGACTTTGGTGTGTTTTGCAGTAATGACAAATTGACTTACTTTGGCATTCATTTCCAGGCTTATAGCTGGGCAGTCTCCAGTGATCGCCTCGCAGAGCATTTGTGTGTTTCAGTCACGTTGGGCTCACTTCAATTTACTCTCCATACCATAGGGGCTTATGTTCTTTCTAAGTATCAATGCAATTTTCTTTACCCTGTAAAATCTAAAAACGTAAAATATAATCGATGGTCTTTAATCAACGTGAAGTACGCGCTACTTCTTTGAAAGTTTTCCACTGAAGTTATACGTATTTTATTTTTCGGTATATAAGCACTAAAATTCAACATTTTTTCTAGTGTCTTCAACTCAAATATCGTAATTTTACTCTGACTTTAAAATATTTTTCATTAAGTGTTATTAATATTTCACTGAAATTATATCGTTATTTCACTGGAATTACACTCGGTCAAAAAACATGTCGTTACGCCTTTCATTTGAATACGCAGAATGCGATCAGGGTCGTGGGGCTGGTGATTAACCTGGTCTCCCAAATAAGACGGTATGCTTTTTCGATTACGTGGTATTTACACAGGGACCTGGTAGCTAAAATTATCTACAATCGTGCGTATATTAAACAAATATTAAATGCCTGAACAGTTTGACGTTTGTAATAGCATTGTTATTTGTGCATGTTTGCTTCTAAGCTTGCTATTTATCAATATCAGCAAGAGGCCGCTTATGACGATTGGCTAATGTTTGTGACACCGATGAATTTGGCCGGAAGGCCACTTGCTGTTCGAGGGCAAAAGGACACACCCGACAGTTCATAGTTTGCCGACGGCTCATTGACAGTTTTCCAGCGTCACGATTTATCGCTGCACAATCATATAACTCCTTATTCGTCGGCACCACTGATAACATTTATTAATGGATAGAATTTATTATTTTTTTCGTTTAATGGCATTCCTTTTATCACCTCAGAAAAAACTACAGTAATGTTTATTTAGGTTACACAATTTTAAGGTACTCTACATAAATTTATTAATTACATTTTTGCATCTGAACTTACACAATTGCTTTATGAAGCTTGCCTCCAACATCATTATGAAGTTTGTTCAACTTGCTCTTTTAACTCAGCACATTACCAACACTTGCGCTGCCTTCTGGATTAGCGAAAACAAAGGGAACAATTGCGTATTGAACTCTTGCGTGTCACGCACCGTGTATGTTAATAACGAACTCAAGTGTGGCCTTTACTGCGGCACAGAAAGCTGCGACTTCTTCTATTTTGAAAATGGTGGGTTTGAATGAATTAAACAATTGTTATTGTGTATATAAGTCTTTTGGACGTTTGAATTCTAATGTTCATATCTCCTGCTGTTCTGAAAATTCAATAAGTTTTCATTGTGTTGCGCTAATGCTGACAGAATTGTTCCTCCTGAACGTAAAGTGAATAAAAAATTATCAATACTCTAACCACTGATAGAGAGACTTGGAAACTAAGATTTAAGTTTTAGGGATGCAAAATTCCCATCATTTGGGGCTATTTTACTTTGCAATGTTCCTTAGTTCCTTATAGTGTATAAAACATAATAATTCCTTAAAATAACGTTTAAGGTTAGTGCAAAACTGCATGAAGATTTTTAAATTAAAAAATTCGTTGCAGATACCGACAAAATGTTGATCATTTGAACACATTGCTTATTCCCGGCGCTACAGAATGCGATAGATTTCCATTACTTAGCAATAGGACCAAAATGTTTCATATTTTCATATCTTTAAAATATTTTATTTTTTTAATCATTTCATGTAATTCATATTATTAATTATGCAAATGGAGACCTTATACAAAACCCTGTTCTCTGTTGTTTTTAGACAATAATATAGGTGATAATTCTTTAAGATTATTTATTTACATTAATTATTTTTCTTTGAAGACAAAAAGTATGCACGACTTGAGAAAAAATTTTGATGATACTATGACGAATACAAATAACTTTTTGGTTATGAATGCTTCCTGAAGTTTTCACATAGAAGTTGTAAAACACAAACGATGAATATATCACCGGAGATCAAAAGAGAGCTTTCTAACTGTAATAATGTTATTATATCACTGAGGGACTTAATACACCACCTAAAGAGATATTATTATGGTCACGATCAAACAACGTTTCCGAAGTGTAAAAAAGAGGCAAATGTATCAAATGCTCCGATCGGCAGATGATCAGTGATTGTCAGAAGCATGATAGTGTAGCCTAAGAAAACAAGCCAAGAGCGTTGGGAGCCAACTTCATGGCGGAGATTTCAAGTCACAATACTCAAACACAATTACTTACTCGTGAAATGGCTAATACGGTAGTAATTTTATCAATATGAGTGCAGAATTTATGTATCATTAAGAAGTGCAACAGGTTCATTTTTTTAGGTTAAACGCAATAAATTTCCCTCAGGACTGTGCCGTGTTTATCCTGCTGCTGCCCCTGGCACGAACTCGACTCAGTACTCGCCCCTCGGTGGCCGTGGCCGCTTCGAACGCGCACGAGGAAAGCCAGTGACGGCTTCGCTTCAATATAGCAACCTGTGTGCTTTAACTTTCAGAAAAATGATTATATATTCGCTTGGACGCTGCTAAATTACTTCAATAATTTGTAGAACTATTTATTTACTGTTACGATTCACGTCGAACATTTTATCGATACTCTTATTCATGCAGATTTCGGCAGTTCTAACATCTTCCCTACTCCTCAATAGGTACGCATCGAACGCCGTCGACGGCAATAATGCAACTATTTACCACTCATCGGACCTCGCTGGCTACGAGATGCCTTGGATTCTCATTGATTTGGTGAGCTGTCTGCAAGTGGAAAAAATTCGCTTACAACCCTACGCACCAGAACCATATGTGGCACAACGCTTCGTTGATGTTCAGGTGAATACCAAGTTTAATGTTACGTTTGCTTTCGAATTATCAAATAATTGAACAGTGAGAAAACTGGAAATTGGTCGTCACAGAGACGTTGGGGAACGTCTTTCTTGATAAGAGGTTCAATGAGAATGATCGAACGAGGTAGGAACGCATCATGCAGCTCTGCCAACGAAAGTTCGTTAAAAATAATAAGATGATCGCAAAGTATGGCAATTCATGCAGTGTTATCGAACAATTAACGCCTATATATATATATATATGACAGGGCATTTGCATATAAAAAAGAAAGCTTATACTAAAATTTTACAACAATACCTGGAAAATTATGGTGTGAGGTTTCACACATTATTATATCAAATCGTACATTACGCGTCATGCTACTCACTTTCAGTTTATAATTCACCATACATATTTCCCAATCCTGTGAACGTGTGATATATCAATTGCCTAAAAGAATCATAAAGATTGGAAACATTGCATCCAGATTTTGGTTGGCGTTAGCGCTCCTGCCAGCGCTGGAGACTTCAGCACCTTCACGGTGGTGGTTACTCATCAGTAGTTAGAAACTATCACAGGCTGCCACTCATCAGTAGTCATAAACTATCACTGGCTGCTACTCATCAGTGATCGGAAAAAATTTACAGGTACAAAGATATCTTGAAATTACCTCGGCCCGAGTACCAGCGTTCATGCTTTGCGTGCTCATTCCAGGAGCTCACTATCAAAAATTAAAGTCTTCTGGGTAGCAATTGTGTGCTGGACTGCACTGGTCATTTACTGACGTTTCGTAATTGGAATGACTGAGAGTACACGAACGAAAAGTCTGTAGGTCTGTATCAGAATTTAATTATCAAGGAGTGTAAATTGCTGGTTCTCCTGATTTTCGAACCTGAAAAACTGATAAATTTTTATATACTGATATAAATTCGTTATTAGATCGAATGAACTGACCAATAACAGAATGAATGAACAGATAACTATTATGAAAGATTTTTTTAATTGTTCATTAATAAGATTTGAGCACTTTTATTCTTGCGTTAATATACCCAAAAATAACTCGTCGTCGCGCACATAATTTAAAGAAAGCAAATAGGAACATTTATCAGAAATAAAAATGCAATTGATTTTTGCAGCCATATATCGTTTAAATTTTTTTTTTTGCGGTTGTTTTACAAATACCAATTTCTCGATTCTTATTTAAAAATATGTTCACTTTCTTTGAGTAATTTTAAGCCAGCTGAAAATGATGCGTCATCTGTACGAAGAAATTTGCACACACGTATTTGGAAAGAAAATGTAAGTGAAATAATTAAATATGCCGTTATCGCTCCGACATCTCTATAACAGTTATTTCTGTGTAGTTTTTATCCCGAATGTCGAAATTTAGGTTCACACAGGCATGTATTATATGCATGACAAGAATTATTTATAATAAGAAGCCTGATAATTTGCATCTTATAAATTGTATTTTTAAGCAAAACTTATCAATCATGCGATGAGTACTCGAGATACGTTCCCAGTACAACCTAATTCAAGGCACCTCCCAATTACTCACTCTAAAATAACTTGATTATTAACGTGCCGATATTTTTAGAAGAAAAACTTCAACTCAAATAGCTCAAGAGTCATTAATTTAAAAAATATAAAAATTGGCATTATATGCAGAATGCATATGAATATCGACTCTAGAGCTTCCTGTTTTGTAGTTCATTTTTATTTTTTGGTGGTGAGATTTTTCAGTTTTTTAAACCACCCAAATTTTTATCACGAAATTTATTTCGTGATGAATATTTCGTATTTTTATCTTATACGAAAAAAATAAATCAGGTGAAGGCTATTCGAGTCGATAGATATTGCTATCATGAATCTTATAAGTCTTCCGACATTGTAGCTCGTAAGCTGAAGAAGTAGTGTACTTTATAAGCAGCCTCCCTGACATTCTGTCAGCAGTTTCTAGGACCAGCCTCACTGACAGAATGATGTACTCGGAATAATGGTTGAATTAATTGATTGAATGTATTAATTCAACCGTGTTCAGAATGATGTATTCGGATTTCGGAATGATGTACTCGGAATCATGGTTGAATTAAATAATTGAATGTATTAATGCAACCATGCTCGGAATGATGTACTCGGAATGATGTACATGCAGGTACTCGGGTCGAGGTAATTTCACAATGTCTTTGTACCCCGTTCAGTCAGTCCCCATGACCAGCCTCAAATTGACATTCGTGAGTTTCCAGGACCAGCGTCAATGCGACAACGGCTGCAGGCGACTTTCGACTGCTCTCAGCTTCTTCGCAGAATTTTGTAACATTATAATAATAAAGTGAAGTCGAGACCACGCTTTGTTTAAGAATGTCGCAGTGGATGTTCTCGACGGTATGAATCGGTGTAGTGTATAGGAGCATTGAAAATCAACCGACTTATTTTTGCCAATCCTGCATTCCAAGATGACTGCAAAAATTGTACCCATTCACTAGAATTAATATCATTTTTCATCCTTTTTTATGTAGTTAGTTGAAGGGTAGTTGTTATGCGACCCTAGTTAGCGCTTCTGGACACGATGGGCCACCATAAAGAGGAGGCGAAGTGGATCTCCCTATAACTCAGATGCGGATGGACGCGGCATTCGAGTGCCATGGTGAAAGCTCTTAGACCTTCTGTGGTGATTTCATGTAAGCTACATGCTTAGTATCCTTAGTATTTGTTTCGGACGTAGTAGTCCCAGACCACGATGGTTTGCCGCCTCTGATTGTCGCGCATCCGCCCTCATTTGGGCCAACTGATGCACGATGCTGTTGCTTGATTCTTGCCGTCGGTAGTGGTGCAGGGGCGGTCGATCAGGGATTGTGCCCAGGAACACGTCCAGTCGTCTATTGAACGTCTCCAGGGTGAACTCACCCTCTCTTAGATCTTTTGTTAGGACGTTAAACAGCCTCTGCCCTGCTAAGGAAAGGGATCCGTCCCGCAGGGATTGAAATCTGACTGCAGATCTGTTACGTAGTGGGGGGATCCTGCACAGTCTCCCCCTTCTCGCTTTATGGTATGTCTTAAGATCTCGCTTTCGACGTTTAGTGCCATTCCGGTTATCATTTTTCATGTGTACAGAATGACATACCTCTCCCGTCTCCTCTGCAGTGAGTCAGAAACTATTTGTCAGTAAATATAATAAATATTTCTAGATCCGGTGTTTCAAACTCGATGTTTAACAGCACCCGCCCCCTTGGTAGGTCTTGAATGACTCCAATTTCGGCTCCTGTCTTGAGTATCGGGGTTTGCTGAATACATTTTCAAACTGCGCTCCTAGCAGCTTGCACATGCCCTGGTCGCCTCCAACAAGGACATCGTTACTTTTCAGAAGCCCCACTGAGGCTCTGATCTTTGGCCTATGACTGGGCATATTTGTAGAAATATTTGAGATTCTTCCGAGAGGTAGCCACCACTTCCGCTTCCGCAACTTGTTGTTCAGCCTCGTGCGAGTCCTGCAACTGTTGTTCAGTGTCCTTAATTTTCTCCTTTAGATGTTCCAGCCTCCGCCTCTTCATATTCCCGGAGGCAGCCGCTATCTGGTGGTCCAGACTCGTTCGTTTCCTCATGAGGATTCGTCTGTCCCTTGAAATTTTGTGCCGTTTGGGGGTCGTTCTTCTCGGTGTGTGACGTGTGCATACCTGCAGTAATACTTCGCACAGTTTGTTGTACATTGCTTAGGCATTTAACTCCAGGAACTCTGATCTCCAGTCGACGTCGAGGAGTTCGTTTCCAATGGCCTCCCAGTCTGTTCTTCGACTATAAAAATTTAGCCCAGCCAGGCCCTCTCTATATATAGGTCTGAGCTGGTTTCCAATCCTAATTGTTGTTTTGACCACCACTAGTCGATGATCTGACAGTGTGGTCTCCTCAACACGAATATCAGCAACCAATTCTTCATTGCTGATGAAGAATAAATCCAGGATATTGTATTCTCTTATTGTGTGTCAACAGGCACCAGCACCTGCTGACTGGGAAAGTGCTCCCCAGCGAATCGAAGTAGTTGTGTTGCCTGGTTTCTGGCCTGATCTCTGCCATCCTAAACAGTCCAAGTGTGGCCATCGTACGCGTGGTAGGTTAAAATCTCCTACAACCACAATATTTGGCGAAGGTTCACCCAAATCGGCCACCTCTATTTTTATTATCTCCAGAGTTTCATTGAATTTTTCCGGCGGGGAGTCGCGCCGTCAGTATACGATAGCTATGCACAATTGGAGATGGGAGATGTGCGGTATTACATGTTGCTGATCACCATGGCACTGACGCCCAAATGTAAGGGAACTTTTTTTGCCGAGAGGGAGTTTCTGAGGTGGACTGTAACACCTCCCTTCATCCCCCCCCCTCTTTTCGGTCCGCTCGGTAATGTTGAAAGCCTTTCATTTCGATTTCTCCATCTTCGATATCCTCTCTTAGATGTGGCTCGGTTAATACAAGTATGTTTATTCCTTCTGCCACAGCAGTTTCCTTTAAGTACGCTGATCTTGTGGCGTTTCATTCTTGGGAAGAGTCCCTCGATATTGGCTATCATGATGCTAGAGCTAGACTCTTCCTTTACGTGCGTTCTTAGTTGCTGCAACACTGCACTGCCCGGGGTCTCTGGTTCAGCAGCTCTTGCATTTTTGTTGCTGTGATTTCTGCTGTACGTTGTTCGTGCAGTATCAACAGGTGTTGCATTTATTGTTGAATCTGATCTACTTGCCTCTGCAGGCCTAAAAAATACTGTGAGTGATATCGAGTTCTCTGTGTTGTTCTCCACTACGGTAGGATATGGCGTCCGGTGTAGTAATTATTGGAACCGCGCTGTTGTTCCCTTGATTACGATTGATTCGCGCTTCCAGAACGTTTTTTTAACAAATGCATTTTTTCTGAAGTTTTCAGTTTGGGAGTAGAATCTATCTGGTGTTCCGGGGATGAAGTATCAGAGTACCGTCTCCCTTCGGCATCATTTCCCGCCTGCAGGCTGTGTTTATGGTTATGAAACCGACAGTTATCTCGTTTGCAAGCTACATTTTTTTAGTATTGCAGCACAAAAACGGATGATATTATTGGCAGTATTTCCCATTTATGCACCCGCGTTGGTTTTTGCTCCCAAATGTTGAAAATTTGTGAAAAAATCTTAGGTTGAGGATACCTACAGCTCAATCCTTTATTCTCCCGATCTAAATTTCCCTGAAGATACCTCCAGCAGATGCGCTTGTTACCAGGCGGTATATCAGCAGAGGCATTTAAATGGCTTGTGGGAGTGAGGGTGGTGCGGGAGAAGGGTAGGGTTACCCTTTCCCCTTCCTTCTCTGGGCTGCGGTCAAGGAGTGGAGTGCGAGTAAAGGGAAAGGGGCTCGGGGTACGATTTCGGACAGCGTTGGGGCAGGCGGGACCAGAGGGAGTAGAGGGTGGCAACGCCTGGGCACGCCGGCCGAGGTAAACATATTTGTCTTATTTTGACTCCCTTTACTCCCTAGAGCTCTTTGCATAACTTCGGCACATTCTTTGAACCACTCCTCATTCTTTACACATTTTCTGCATATGAAT